ATTCATATTTATAAGAGACACACTAAAAACTGACTGAAATCTCTGAACCTGCTGTGTTACAGTCAAATCCTATATATCTACTTGAGGAAGCTCCTGGTGCCTAGCTGTTTGCTCAAACAATGGCTTATAATGGTTCTAGATCCCTTAATTTAATTTAATTCCTACCAATTATTTAAGTATACTGTCTTCTTTCTTTACATTAATTATTCTATTACCTCTGATTTGAAAATTTTCCAGATACCTGGCAATGTAAAAAGTTCCCAAAATGATATTGTATGCAAAAACAAAGCATAAAAATTGGTTACAACTTTCTTTCCCCACCAAAGCCCTCGAGAGGGTACAGAGTCGGAAGTTCTGCATTTGGAAGAAACTGAAAAGGCTAATAATACAGGAGGCCATGGGTGGATTGCTTTGTGTCGAGGACCACTGGACAGATCATCCCTTAAGTTCACCGTGTTACCACACTTTCCCATGCTCGGCTTTGGAAGATGATAGACAGTGTTACCAAAACCACTAAGATTGCTAGAGAACTAGTGAATGCCTACGTGAGTTCTTAGCAACTGTCAGGGCATGATCCTGACTTCCTGGGGGACACCTGCGACTGTGCTATCAGAGATGACTGCTGTATGTTCCCGCAGACCTTTCAGAAGAAGTATTCCAAACACAAACAGCAGAATCCATATTATTGTCACCCGCGTCTCAAACCCTCCTGTCACAGACCTTCCCAGGCGGCAACTTGAAACCTCAAGTCTGGATTTTATGTTGTCACTTAGCTTCAATAGTTGTCCTTTCTGGCTTGGCATAAAAGCCAAAATTCATCTTAAAGGGAATAAGCTGTATTCTGGAGCTGTTTAAATGACGGTGGCCCAGGAACACAAAGTAGGTTACCCCCAAGTCTGTGTTCCATTGTGGAAGCAGTTTTATGAATTTTTTTTTTATAGTTTCATAGAACAAAGAGAAGCCATCCATCAAGGTGAGTTGGAAATACATGGGTAGGTACACCAGAGAGGTGGATACCTTGAAATGGGGGCTTCTCTGGAGACCCAAGATGATATTATCTGATGATATTCTTAGCTCTTGGATTGTTGGAAACTAGTATTCTGGTAAGTTAATAGCTTCTAAGAGGTTTTTATTTATAATCGTGAGGTATCAGTTTAATACAGAGTGGGGCAAGGAATGGCTCTCCCAGAGGCTAAAACTAGGCCAAGATAAAGTAATTAGCCTCTGAACCTACAAAGTTCCGATTTCTTCACAGTACTGAAATTCCAATTGGTCCAACAGTCTTTGCAGACACAGGCTCCTTCTAGGAGTATTTTGTCCACAGACAGTCACAGTTTATTTTCAGGATTTTTCATCCCCTCTAGTCGATTTTATCTTTATGTATATTATATTTTTTTTCCCTGGGATTAAAGTACCACAACCAAGGCAACTTTTAGAAGAAAGGGCTTGTTTGAACGTAGAGTTAGAGAGTGGTAAGAATCCATTATTATTACTTGAGGGAGCCACGGTGGCTTGAGCAGTAGCCTGAGGGTTCACATCTTGAACAGAAAGTGCAAAGCAGAGAGTAAATTAGAAGTGGCATAAGTCTTAAGACTTTCAACGCCCTCCTTCATTGACATACTTCCTCCAACAAGGTCATACTTCCTTAAGCCTACCTACATAGTGCTGCCAACTGAGGATCTCATGTTCAAATACATGAGCCACAGGGGACATTCTCATTCAAAACACAACATTTCTCAACGTGGTCCTCATAGGTTCATGGCCATATTATAATGTAAAATGCGTTTAGTACAACTTCAAAAGCCTCGATAGTCTTTTATAGACTCAACACTGTTTAAAAGTCCAACGTCTCTTTGAGAGACAGTTATTTGTAACCTCCTATAAAATAAAAAGCAAATTATATACTTCTAATATACAATGGCCCAGAGTATATGTCACCATTCCAAAATGGAGGGCTGGGGGCATAGTGAATAAATACTGTACACAAACAAAACAAGACCAGAACTCAGCGGGGCAAACACCAAATCCTCTAGATCAATGTCCCATGTCTGGGAATTTAATTTCAAAGGGCTTGGGTGACTCTATCTTCTAGCCTTTCTCCTTGCATCATACATCTCTCTCTTGGTCTGGTCCCACTCGCTGTATTGTAACCCTCCTTGGCAGATATCTCATGACTCTAGCATCTCCAATGTCTTGGGGTCTCTAATGCAGCCTAGGCTTCATGTTGACAGCTTCACAAAATGGCCTTCCAGGGTCTTTTACCCTTCTGTCTTCTATCCTCACACAGGGATTGCCCAGCCACATGTTGTCGGGCCCCAGTGATTCTCTGAAACCACAGAGGAAGATTCTACTACCCCTTTAGTCTTGCATCCATCATGACTTTAAAGCTAGAACCACGTGGATGACTCTGCCAAGTTCTGTTGCCTGCTTGAGATGCAATTCAGTCCCTTCAATGACATTTGAAGCACGTTTTTAACCTAGTCACTTTTTAATATCAGACAATGCCTCAGGCTCTCTTTTCACAAGATGGAAGCTTATCTGAGTGGCAAGACCTCACTCAGCTGCTTTAGTTACAGTTCTGTTGCTGTGATAAAACACCCCGACCCAGGCAGCTGATAAAAAGAAGAGTTTGTTTGAGTTTATGGTTCCGGAGGAATAAAAGTCCATTACCATCATTGCAGAGAGGTGTGGCCACCACAGGCAAGCATGGTGAATTGAGCAGAAAGCTCAATTCACATCTTAAACCACAATCACAAAGCAGAGAGAGTGACAGAAATGGTTTGGGCATTTATATTCTCAAAGCAGCAACATACTTCCTCCAACAAGACCACACCTTCTAAGTCTTCCCAAACAGTGCCACTAGCTGGGAACACTTATTCAAATACCTGAGTCTATGGGGGACTATTGTGCAATATTTAACTATGTTACATTTGTTTATGCTGTGGAATATTACTTTAACTGTGTAAAGGCTTGTTACACTTTTTTATTCTGCATTTGCTTAACAATGTAAGGGTGTGTGTTTAGTTATGCAAAGATGTGTTGCATTTGTTTCACCTTGCCTGTCTAAGGCACCTGATTGGTCTAATAAAGAGCTTAACAGCCAATGGCTAGGCAGAGAAAGGATAGGCAGGGCTGGCAGGAAGAGAGGATAACTAGGAAGAGAAATCTAGGCTAGAGAAGAATGAGAGAAGAGAGAAAAGAGAATGAAGAAGATGCCTGGGGCCAGAAACCATACAGCCAGACAGAAAAAAGCAGTGAAAGTAAGATATAAAGAAGGAAAAAAAAGTAAAAAGCTGTGAGGCAAAAGGTATATAAAGAGAAACAGGTCAACTTATGTTAAAAGAACTAGCCAGAAAAGAGCTTAAGCTAGGCTGAGCATTCATAACTAATAAGAAATCTCCATGTCATGATTTGGGAGCTGGTTGGAGAGCCAATAGGAAAAAGTCTTCCTACAGGGGGCATCCTCATTCAACCACCACAGTCAGATGTGAGAGCAGTCTGCCTGCTGCAGCTCTCGTCCTGCTGATCACCAAGATTGATTGAGCTGAGTAGCTAGGTGGATGTCCCATTCCTCCCTCAGCACTCCATGTGAGTCTCTCCCAAATCTATGTGCTTTTGTGAAGAGAACGACCTTTCTCAGAACAGGACTTCCGTCGAGAGTTTGTGAGTAGCTGCACTCCCTTGCTAGAATCTCCAAACAGGCTCTCAAGTCACCATAGTCTCCTCTTACAGAAATGTACAGTTACAACACCTTTAACACCTATCAGTGTAGAAGCACCATTGAACATGGTACAGCAGGCTCCAAAGGGACCATGAACATGATGCCAGGCTACCTTGAGAACTCAATGGCCAAACCTCAAGACAGTCAATTTCGTTTCATTGCTAGTCTCGTTTAATAATAATTCGGGGGAGGGAGCTGAAACAAGGCAAGAGCAGCCAACTGCTTGCACTTACCTGCTTTTTACTCCTGGTTTTAGCTTCACCACACCTTCGCCAGGCTTCTAATCCTTTCCAAATGCCTCTAAATTTTGCCTTGCTTCCAGGCACTCACATTCACGCTGTCTGCCTAAACAGCACAGAATCTGTGGACTGGAGAGAACACTGCTCCCTATGTAAGTGACCTGCTTTTGCTACATGCTTATCTCTGTAAGTCTGCCACCTGCTTCCTGCAAACCCACAGTTCTGCTCTGCTTGTCATTTTCTTAGGAAAGAAACTCCACATTGTTTGGTCCTGGCTCCTTAAAGGTTGCCGAGCCTAGAGTGTTTCTCTTTTGTAATTGACTTTTAATCTTTGTCTGGACTTGTGTTCTGGATGTCGCATCATGCAGATGAGGGTCCTAACCAAATCCTGTTCACATAGTGCCTGTTCACATGGGCACTGTCTAAGTGGGTTGACATATAACATGATAGTCTTATTTCCATTTATCAAACAGCAAGTGATGGCACTAGGTAGCGCTATAACTCCAAGACACTCTGGGGAGTCCATATAAGGTACAGTGGGTGGGCGTGATAAAAAAATGTCTTCCCCACCCCTTTCCTGTTTGAGGTTCACAATAGAAGCTGCATCCTAATAATAGCCAGCTCTTTCCACGGTTGCTCTGTTCCCTCGCAGGCTTCTTCTCTTTAAGCTCACCCATTCTTCCATGGTTAGGACCAGAGGCCAGTATATATGATAGCTATAAACTTGTACTGTTCAATGAGATATTGGGTCTGTGTCACGAGCCTTCTGCCCCAGGTCACAGAAATTCACCCTTGCCTGGAGTGAGAGAACCGCTGCCTCTGCAGTTCTGACAGGGAATCGGCTGTGCCCACCTCCTTCTGGCTCCTCCCAGCCCTGCATCTGTGGTCATAATATGGCCGATGCACTGCGCATTTCCAAGACCCTCTAAAGCAGCTGCTGCCCACACACACTGGAGCCAGCAGCTCACTAGGCTCTCGCCTGTGCTGTCTGACCAAGGTCTTTTTGGGTGACTGTGAGAATCTTAAACATGATGTGATTCTCTTCATTTCAGTTTTGGGAGGTGATAAGCGATGAGCATGGCATCGACCCCACCGGCAGTTACCATGGTGACAGTGACTTGCAGCTGGAGAGAATCAATGTGTACTACAATGAAGCTGCTGGTAAGGGTTTGGATGTCAGCCTTGCTTTCCATACTGTGGCAGAGGAAGTGACTTAGGACCATGCAAACAACAAGGAAATGCTTTTTGCATACTTATTTAAAATGCCAACTGCAATAAATAAATAAATAAAAGCACTTTGCAGCTCCCAAAGATCTCTGCATGTCTGCTGTGATTAAGCATGCTTCATGTCTCCATTTTCCTTTTCTTCCTTTGTCTCAGTGCTGGGATTTCTGTAACGAATTCTGCTGCTATGTGTATCTCCTTGCCAAGCCCAGTTGTAAGTCAGCTCTTGTCCCCACAGGCAACAAATACGTATCTCGGGCCATCCTGGTGGACCTGGAGCCGGGCACCATGGACTCAGTGAGGTCAGGACCCTTCGGCCAGATCTTCAGACCAGACAACTTTGTGTTCGGTATGTCGTCATGCTCCATGAGAGCTGGCCAAATGACTCACCCCTTCCTAGCAGCCATGGGCTTTACAGTTCCGTGTGCAGTGCCCAGCTGAGCCTGTGTCCACAGACCACAAGTCCTGGTCTAACCTATGCAGCTGACAAGATCATGTCTGTGGTCTCTCTTGATAGCTCAGAGGAGTGTGGGCCTGTAGAGGTTGTTAAAGGCCTCATGAGGAGCAGCCTGGGGGGAGGGGTAGAGAGGATGAAAGTCTTCAAAGAGGGCATTACAGGCTGCAGGTGATTTCAAAGGACCAATGATGCCAGGTAAACACTTCAGTGACCGAGCTGTAGATCAAGTGCTTAGAGCTGCCTTGCCCTACCTCTTTAATTATACCTAATTAAGAGTATCTACAGAATATTCTCTGTGCTTATTTTCAGAGGCAGCTCCTTTCCCTCAAGTTGATTCTTTTGGTTGAGAAAGTCTTTTACACCCCAGGATAAACCTCTTGCCTCTACCACATAAGTACTGACCTTACTGGCATGCCACCATATTCAGCTCCTCAGCTTGATTCCAACCCTCCCCCTCCCCCGGAGTCTTGGAAATGTGATTTTTATTTTAAACCAATATATAAAACCAGAAAGGTTGAAAATGAGGTGCTGCACCGTAGCTGACATATGTATATATTGTACAATGCTTAAAACCAGGCTAAGCATTTTCATCTCAGCATTTCTGTGTGGTAAAAACTCAGAATCCTTTCAGTTTTCTGCCATGTACAGAACATTGTTGTTTCTATAGCAACGGCACAGCAGTGCTTCTACTCCCCTCAGCCGTAGCTTAGTAACTGTGATCAACATTTCCCCAACACTCTGCATCTCAGCCTTTTTGAGGGTCATTAGCCCATAGAAATTTTCCCTTTGGAAACAAAAATGTGTCCAAACGATTATCCAAGGTATCCCAAGAATAGTCCCACCTTGCCCTTCATAGTTTGAATGACACAACCCAGGAGGATCCTATGTGTGCATCTAATATTCTCTTTGTTCTGACAGGCCAGAGCAGCACAGGAAATAACAGGTCAAAAGGCCCCTACACAGAGGGCACTGAGGGTGGCACTAGTTTAGACGTCATACCATCGTCCACAGTCTTAGCCACTAAGGTCAAACTCTACAACACCATACTTTCCAGGCACCAGCTGGTGGGGAACACGGATGAAACCTGCTGCGTCAATGAGGCCCTGTATTGTAAGCGTTGCAGCCCATAGCTCCAGTCCAGTGGATCAGGCATTGCTTTCTGGGTTTCCATACACTCGACAAAGACCCATTCATACACTTTGAAATAATGTTTTTCAAAGATGACTAAGGGTATAAAAACAAATGCTTCCTTACACATACGTTGTTTGTTTACAGCTGTAAACTGTCCAGAGTATCATTGCACTTGCTGTCTGTAAAACTGTAAAAAGTCAAAAATCAGAAGTTGACTAGAATAAAAGATGGCTGAGGTAGAGGGCTGCCTCATGAGTTGAGAGCCCTTGCTGCGTTTTCAGAGGTCCCTGGTTCTGTTCTCAGCACCCTTGTTGGGTATCCCCCAACATGGATGACATTTGCTTCTCCACCCTCAAGCTGACCACACCCACATCTGATGACCTCACCTTCCTGGTGTCAGTCATCCATCTGCCTGCACTCCTCAGACCAGCTGAACACAGACCTGAGCATGCTGGCTGTGGATATGGTGACCGCCCTCTGACCAGCAGTGTAGCCGGCCATTGTTTTGCCGAAAACACTGGTGCTCCCCAGCAGAGGTCTTGTTCTACCTAGGGTACTGGTACTAACAGCAAAATAGGTTAGTGAGGGGCTTAAAATACTAGTACAGCTTTTGCTGAGGCACTGGCATAGTGAAGCCATCTTGTAGCTGCTTAGTGAGGTCCGAGATGCCCAATGACAGCCCTTCAGATAGTGACAATCAAAGGAGTGATAGCTTTGGGTTATTCCTTCAGTCCTGAATTTAAGGCTTCCTTGGAGTAGAAGATATTCAAATCCCTGATTCATGAGGGTCCTGGGAGAGGCTGAAATATTTAGGTCAGAAGTCCCAGGATCTGGAAGTAAACACGGAGAATATGTGACATGCATAGAGTTGCAAGGTCACGAAACACCACCTGTCCACAGGTAAAAAGGGACTTCCTCACTGATGTCTTTATAGAAACACTGTTAGACCTAGCAACTAGTTCCTTTAGCCCTTATTATTCTACGACAAAATGGAAACTTCTATGGATATAACTCCAGTGGCACCAGGGCTCATTAGCCATCTAGCTGAGTTTCTATGGAAGACTTCTCATGCAGTGACAGGTAAGAACTCATCTCCCCCCAAAAAAGCCTGGCTTGCCTACTTCCCATGTGGTACTCATGTGATTCTCTCTTGTGTAACAGGGCGAGAGGGCCCCTTGTTCTGGCTGCCCCACTAGCTTACACCCAAAATAATCACACAGAAACTGTATTCATTTAAACACTGCCTGGCCCATTAATTCTAGCCTCTTATTGGCTAACTCTCACATCTTGATTCAACCCATTTATAATAAACTGTCACCACAAGGTCATGGCTTACTGGGAAAGATTCAGCATGTCTGACCTGGCAGCTCCATGGCGGCTCTCTCTCTCTCTTTCTCTTTGCTTTCTTCCTCCCAGAATTCAGTTTTGTCTATTCCGCCTACGTAAGTTCTGCCCTATCCAAAGGTCAAGGCAGTTTTTTTTATTCAATTAATGAAAGCAACACTTAGACAGAAGGACCTCCTACACCACTCTTGTCTTCTCTTCCACATGTCCTGGGTTGAGTCCATGCTGTCCACGGTCATCATCTGCACTAGAGGTGTTAGCATTTGGCTTCCTCTCTTCCTTCGCTCCATTCTCCATGGACCTTCTTGAGCATCCTAAGCTTTAGACCATTCTCAACATCTCCTGTCAAACATCGCATTCCACATCACGGAAGAAGTGAAGTGTAACCATCTCCCTATACCCATAGGTCCCCTATCTATAGATTGAGCCAACCTCAAGTTGCAACTATTTTGGTCCAGATCTGTAAAGAGTGTGCCCAGACTTTTTCTTGTCACTCTCTGTGAACTCTATGCTATAAACAGCTACTTAAATTGCATTTACACGGCTTAGGTGCTGTGACTCATCTAGAGATGTTTTAAAGGATACAAGAGGGTGTGGAAGCTGCTAGGAATATATGATCTGCTTTATGGAAGGGATACATATCTGCAGGCCTATATGACTCTTTCCCGTGGCTACTGAAGGACAACCATGCTAGTTCTGTATTCCTGTGTAATAACTCACTACAAACGGAGAAGCTAAAAATGAAGCAATCATTTTATAGCCTCCAGGGATCAGTAACTTAGCGCCGAAGATGATGTCTTTAAAATTGTTAGACCTGCGATATCCCTCAGGATATCACAGAGTGAGCCAGCCTTGTCTACACTATCGTTTGAGGTGTAGAGGCTCTTTTCACACAGTTCATCTGAGGGCCTTCTCATCTCTGCAGCTATCCACCAAAGCCTGCTCTCCACGTGTGGAAATGCCTGGCCATTCACACTGACACAGCCCCCCTCCCCCGAGGCCAAGAGGAGAGCGTGCTGAGCCTGACAGTCCAAACTGAGGTGCTCTTTTGTCACCTACAGCTAACAGTCTTGTTGCGGTGGGGCATTAGAGACAGCCTACCCAGAAAACCTTAAGACAAACTAATGTGAAAACTTACTGCCTATAAAACCCCATCCCAGCAGGACTTAGATCAGTGTTTGAACAGGAGAAGGGGTGATCTTAGGACCTGCCCATTACTCATGGACTGTGTAGAATGGAAATAGCATGGTCTTTGGACCCAGATAAACTTGTGCTTATCACAGGGTAAATAACTTAGTACATTTGTTAGTAAGCACTGTGTTTGTACTGCCAAATGCTAAAGCTGACCTGGATAATAAACTTTAGAGAGGTCACATAGGTTCATGATAATATATGTATATATTATATTAATATATATTAATATTAACATGCGCAGTGCATGTTAGATTAACCACAAAGTATCGGTGGTATTACATTAGTAGCAACATTTAGGACTGTGAAACACTATTATTTCTTGGTATCCAAGGAGATTGATCTCAAGATCCTCTGGATGCCAATAAAATGGTCAAATGTTTGCAAATAACCTACACACTTCCTCCTATTCACTGTGTGTTGTCTCTAGATTACTGGTAGCCCCTGATAGGATGGCAAAGCTATGCAAATAGTTGTCTGCACATGCTCAGTATTGACACACTTTGTGTCATTTTTGGATGTTTCATCCACGACTGACTGATTTCATAGATGTGTCATGAGCAGCAACAGGGGCCAACTGGAGAAAAAGCTTTCAAATTCATCTTGCATCTGACATATGAAGGTGGTGCTTAGGACTCTTTTGTACATGTGGCAATGAAGGCATCTCTAGTGACAGATATTCGTCAAATATTTCTGGGATTTATCTCAGATATAAAGGGACATAACAACCAGGAATTATTTGGGATTTCTCTGAAGATTCCAGTTTCGCAGTCAGGGAGACCCTGTCTGGTAGATTTTTATTTGTTTGTTTTTGTTCTTTGTTTTGTTTTCATGTCTGGAGTGCTCTCAGCCCAATAAACACCTTTGAAACAATGATTTGAATATTCCCTTTTAACTAAAGGATGCCCATTGGGGTTTTGAAAGCGTTTCCCATGGGTATTCCTTGGATTCAGCCTCCCAGAGAGACTGCTCTCGAGAAAGTAGCACAGACCATGGTAGGGACAGGGAAGGAAGGATCGTTTCTGCATCAGAGGCTGAAATGTAGCCGTGTGGCTGGGAATGGACTTCATGGTTGAACACACAGGGCAACCATCTCTGAGTCATGCTCTCTCCCACATGCTTGCAAAAATTTACTGCAAAACTCTCCCCTGCACACTCTCAGGGAAGGCAGAATTATTAGGCTCCGTACAAGCAACTGGCATCCTTTCTTTCAGAAGAAAAGAAAATATTGATGCCTACCTTCCTGAGTTGTTATTTGCCTTGAAAACAAAACTGAACAGATCTTGGGGTTTGGAATGTTCTGGAAGAACTGACTAGTGTTTTCTACATTAGCTCAGCAGGATGGAG